TGGCAATCGCTGCGAATCTCCGTTTGGGACCCGGTGATCAAAAACTGTAGCTGCCAATGGTGGTGCAGGTAGGGTGACGCGTGATACCCCCGGAAATGCAAAATCACGTATATATACACATGATTTTGCACAGCCCTGCCGCCCTGTAGTAGAAATTCTGCTATAGGATGGCAGGGAAGCGGTTAAGTAAGTGATGGGCAAAATAATGTGAAGAAAGATAAAAATCACAGCCCTGAAACCTGCATCCTCAAAAAAAAAAAGTCAAACATGGCAGATTCTATATTTATGAGCCCGGTAATTGCGTTTAGTGCAGTCAAATATGTAACTCCAGATTTGTGAGAAAAAAAAAAAAAATGTCACTCCAGGCAAACACTTTGCAAAGTATTTAGTAAACATTTTTACAGTTTCGTAACATTCCTTGTTTTGAAGCAATTAATACATGTTTTAATACATGCTTTCTTAAGCTGATTTCTTAATGTTAGGATGAACATCTGTTAGCATTAGTATCAGCATTCGGGTATGAAATGTTGCAGTGTCTGCATCCTTCCATGCAAGTATGAGACTTAGAGAGTGCAAAGAATGCCTGTAATCCATAGCAAGGAAACTTGTTTTTAAAGCTCAGTTCAGAGACAAAATCGGCAAGCCAATCACATATGCAGGAAGTAATATTTCTGAGGGAACTATGTGCATATATAAGGGGTTGTCATTTTGTAAGGGAGAAACAACTGAAATAAACAGGTTACAAGATGGGTTGTATAGCCATGTTACGGTGGATATAAAAAGTCTACATACCTCTGTTAAAATGTCAAGTTTCTGTGATGTAAAAAAATGAGACAAAGATAAATCATTTCAGAACGTTTTCCACCTTTAATGTAACCTATAAACTGTACAACTCAATTGAACAACAAACTGAAATCTTCTAGGTGGAGGGAAGTAAAAATAAAAAACTAAAACTTTCTGTTGAACCGGCTGATATTTGCCCTATGTGTACCAGGCATTAGTTTATCTAAATGATGGCAACTTTGGGCACCTTTATGGCAACTTTACGCACCTTTATATTGACATTTGGCCTGTGTATACAGCAGCATGTCAGACGGAAGCCGGTCCGAACATCTGGCTTCTATCGAATGGGTATGCTGGAAAAAACAGCAGCCGATCGTCATCTGATCAGCGCTGAGTAAAAGCTTTATAACAGGCATGTTAGGGTGTTTCCATGCTCTAATGTAGTTTTCACATTTTCAAAAGAGCTTGATTTTAGTTGTATAAATGTACCCATGTGTTCCTTCATTTAAATTAAATAAATTATTTTCACATTTTCCATATGTCTGTTGTAAGTTTTTCTTGGTTATTGTAAATGTATGGCTCAAATAAAATTACATTTCCATAATTTTGCAGTTCTTTCAATTTCTGTTAAATCATAAGACATAGCTTTTGTTTTCTTGTTAAAAAAAGGTGTACCTTTAATCATAAAAAGCTGTGCTTGAGTTCCAACCAAGTGACTTTGTCTAGGATGAGATAATGTCATCAGCCTGTTGGACATAGGAGGAACCATTTGCTCAGTCCACGGGCACTGTGCTTTACATGATTGTGCTATCAATCATGTAATCAGCATGTCAGTCCAAGCAGTAGATGCTGGCCCTCAATGTTATCCTGATGAAGAGAAAAACAGATGTAGGCAATGGCATGGGAAATGTGATGTTCTTTGTGAGTGGTAATAAATACCTGTCATTACATTGACATTACTTATACTTATTTTATTTTGCCTCCACTGGTTCTTCCATTCACCCTCATTTACATCCTATTGAAAATTTTTACACAAAAACTTTGTTTTCTTTGAATACTTTATTTTAGACCAAGTTATGTCATAACTACCGTACGTATTTGCCGGCGTATAAGACGACTGGGCGTATAAGACGCCCCCCTACTTTTCCTGCTAAAATGTAGTGTTTGGGCTATACTCGCCGTATAAGACTACCCCTCTTCCAATGCACACCAGTGGGAGGAATAGTGCCCCATCATTGATGTCAGTGGGAGGAATAGTGCCCCCATCATTGATGTCAGTGGGAGGAATAGTGCCCCATCATTGGTATCAGTGGGAGGAATAGTGCCCCATCATTGGTATCAGTGGGGGAATAGGTGCCTTATCATTGGTATCAGTGGCAGGAAATGGTGCCCCATCATTGGCATCAGTGGGAGGAATAGTGCCCCATCATTGGTATCAGTGGGGGGAATAGATGCCCCATCATTGGTATCAGTGGCAGGAATAGTGCCCCATCATTGGTGTCAGTGGGAGGAAATGGTGTGTCCCATCATTGGTGTCAGTGAGGGGTGGAATAGTGCCCCATCATTGGTGTCAGTGGGGGAGGAATAGTGCCCCATATGTCAGTGGGGGGGGGGAATAGTGCCCCATCGTTGGTGTCAGTGGGGGGGAGGAATAGTGCCCCATCGTTGGTGTCAGTGGGAGGAATAGTGGCCCCCATCGTTGGTATCAGTGGGAGGAATAGTGCCCCATCATTGTATCAGTGACACCAATGATGGGGCACTATTCCTCCCACTGACACTTGCTGACCCTGTTCTAGTACGGTGCTGCTGCAGCCAGCATATGTGGTTGCAGCAGCACCTCTACACAGAGCACTTACCTGCTGCTCCGGCATTCAATTTTCGCGGGGGTCCGCTCGGCTCCGCCCCCCTCGCAGGTGATTGGCCGCCTGTGTGCCTTTCCTGAGCTACAGTTCTGGCGGCCAATCACCGGTGAGGAGGCGGAGCCGCGCAGCCGCACGAACATCCAGTGGCCGAACTGAAAGGAGACGCCGCGCTTCCTGGACCGGATCGTCGTGGGACTGGATCCAGGTAAGAGACGTCAGCCCCTGCAAACCCCTGTACTTAATGCCGCAGCCCCCCTAACATGGTGTGTACCCCTGGCGTATAAGACGACCCCCCGACTTTTTGAGAAGACTTTTTTCAAGGGTCAAAAAGTCGTCTTATACGCCGGCAAATACGGTAGGTCATTTTACTCATTTCTACAATGCACGAAGATCATGGCTGGTGGGAGGGCCTTCAGAGTGCTTTACATAGCTGGAAATTATGTATATCACAGTACCCGGCCTCAGTACTCATTTTAGAAAAGCTCAACCCTGATGCAAACAGTGGGGTGGCTCTTGGGAGGAATTATGCAAATATCAAAATGCCTTGATGTCAGTCTGGAGGAGTGAGTAGAAGAGAAATATTTGGTGCACTAAGAAGAAAAACACCAGATGTATAATGTGATGGCTAGTATATTAACCACACAAGTCTTTGCTAAAGAAAATCCCAATACGTGTAAATTAATTGGTTTACATGAAAGCTATAGCGTCTACAAATTGCAGAATAAATACTGGAATTTTTTTTAATACTAGTAATGCCAGCGATCAGTGATTTATAGTGGGACTGCGACGGGCATTCTGACACTGGGGGGGAACTGACTAACTGCCACTGACATCCCCAGTGACACTAATACAGTGGTCATTGCTAATAAAAACCACTAACACTGTACTAATGGCACTGGGCAGGAAGGGGTTAACATCTGGGGCAATCAAAGGGTTAACTGTGTGCTGTGTGCTGTTTTACTAACTGTGCTGTGTGTGTGTTTTACTGTGTAAGAATGCTGCTTTGTATTGCTCTGCTATGCAGAGCAATGCAAAGCAGCATGCTGGTGCTGACAGGGGAGAGATCTGTATTGTTTACATATAGACCTCCCCTGTCAGTGTTCTTTGGCAATCGCTGCGAATCTCCGTTTGGGACCCCGGTGATCAAAAACTGTAGCTGCCAATGGTGGTGCAGGTAGGGTGACGCGTGATACCGGAAATGCAAAATCACGTATATATACAGTATATTAACCACACAAGTAAAGTCCTTAACGTCTAAAGGTGGATAAGGGTTAATCCAACAGTACTTGACTCAGTGGCAGCCGATTCAAAAAGAGCTAGAAGAGACCCTGCGTGAACTATAAAAAGAGAGAAGCAGCACCATCTAAGTGCAGCAATATAAGCAAATAATATATTTCCACAAAATTGGCAACTCACAATAGCAGCAGTAAAATGAGCACTTGTTGAACTGGTGCCAACCGCTGTGCAACTCCTGACCGGTCACAATGCAGGCAGGTCTCCAATGCACTGTCCTTGGCTGTCCGTTTGGATCCACACTGACCTGGAAGTACTGGGAACCACCAGCATAGCCAAGGACAGTGCATTGGAGACTTTCCTGCATCAGGACCCACCAGAAGTTCGACAAGCACTCATTTGACTACTACTATTGTGCGTTGCCAATTTTGTGGAAATAAATTATTTGCATATATTGCTGAACCTAGATGGCACTGCTTCTCTCTTTTTTTATGGAGGAGTGGGTATTCCTAGGTAGGCTGCATTTGGATTCAGACTACCCTAGGTGAGCCTTTATGAATGAAAGCTAAAAAAAGAAAGGAGCAGGCCAAGAACAGCGAGGCTGGGCAGGAAAGGGCTAGATGATGCTATCTAGCTTGCTGAAATTTGCAATGCACATTGTGAGAAACTTACAGTGTGAGGTGAAATAAGAGTAAGCAATTGCTGTAGAGGAAATTGAAAATGCCAATAGCTTGATTGAAAATGTCAAAATCCTTTACTATTAAAAGTTAATTGTTAAGATAGTGGTACAAAAGCAAACATGTTTTGGATGAGTGGCCTTAGTTGTAGCTCTCTCATACATTTAGATAGATTCCTATAATGGGGCTAGAGTTTAGCTTTAATATACAGGTATATAAAATATATCTGATGCTAGGTTCCCTTTAATTGATTCCTCTTCAAAGGCATTGATAAGGCAATGTCCATGTGTGTATCTATTCTGTTTCATTTAATGCATGTATTTAATTGCATGTAATAGATTTTGATGGTTTCTGATGGTTTTCTTCCAAAAATGTTAGTTACTGATGATTATTGGTCTTGTAAAATTTAATTGAATATCTGTTTATGTATTTTTTTTTTACATAGGACTTTTTCAAAGGGCAATTGCACAAAGTGGAACTGCCCTTTCTAGTTGGGCTGTAAGCTTTCAGCCTGCCAAATATACCCGGATTTTAGCAACAAAAGTAGGATGCAACATGACAGATACAGTAGAATTAGTGGAATGTCTGCAGAAAAAGCCTTACCGAGAACTTGTTGACCAAGACATACAGCCAGCAAGATATCACATCGCTTTTGGACCAGTAATTGATGGGGATGTTATTCCTGATGATCCTCAGATTCTGATGGAGCAAGGTGAATTCCTAAACTATGATATAATGCTGGGTGTAAATCAAGGAGAAGGATTTAAATTTGTGGAAAGCATTGTGGACCACGAGGATGGAATTTCTGCAAGTGATTTTGACTTTGCAGTTTCAAATTTTGTGGATAACTTGTATGGATATACAGAGGGAAAAGATATAATGAGGGAAACTATAAAATTTATGTATACAGATTGGGCAGATCGACATAATCCTGAAACAAGAAGAAAAACATTGTTGGCGTTGTTTACCGACCACCAATGGGTTGCACCAGCAGTAGCAACTGCGGATTTGCACTCCAATTTTGGTTCTCCTACATACTTCTATGCCTTTTTCCATCATTGCCAATCTGATCAAGTGCCTGCTTGGGCAGATACAGCTCATGGAGATGAGGTTCCCTATGTTTTTGGGATTCCCATGATTGGACCTACAGAGTTATTTCCTTGCAATTTCTCCAAAAATGATGTTATGCTCAGTGCGGTGGTAATGACATATTGGACAAACTTTGCAAAAACTGGGTAAGTAGCATTCCTTTTGCAAATTTACTCTTCATAGTTTATGCTAGTGTATCAATATTTGAACACATATGCCATTAGCCATTTCATTAACCCTGAATGCACACATCTAGTAGAAGGGCTAAAATTCAGACTGCAAAACCACTAGTATATCATATATCAAAATTTTGTTTAAGTCTTTCTATTAACTACTACCATAAGAATGCCAGAACTAATGACCAGACATCTCATTTCACACATTCATTATCAAAGCCAATTAAGACAGAGTACTGTCACTTCTTTGTACCAGTTTTGACAAAAAAACTATACATTTGACAAAATTACCCAAGTGTCGTTAGTTGAAGCTGTAGAAATTCTCCATTCTTACATATTAAATTATATACCACTGTTCAGAAACTTCATGCTATATTTTGGAAACATTTCAAAATATGAACATCATATTGTTTTAAATAAATGGGTATCTTGCTAGCTCATCCATTAAATTCCTGTAGAACAGTTACTATGTTAACGCCCAAGTTCCCTTCTTGTTAAAAAAAAAAAAAATAATAATAAATGCTCATATTTTTGCAGGTAAAAAAAACTGTTTATATATTTTTTTACATTGCAGCCCTGCTTTGCACCTGCAATCAGCAGAGCACAGTGCAATGCCAGGCTCCTGCAGACTCTCAATAATCTGTCTGCCCATACCTCCCATATGGTCACGAAGTTACTGAATGGCAGGAAGAATCAATGAACAATGAGAGCACTCACCAGCACACTCACAGTTTATTGAGAACTACAAGCCATCATCTGCAATGGTTGACAGTGCATGTAGTTTATTCCTGCACAGAAAACTGTGAACAAATGATGTGGCATGTGGGTGGAGCCCCACACAGCCATGCTGTTTTCAAATTGTGAGAAGATCCCCTGCCCGCTGTCACAAAGAGGAGTGCTGGTGGTGGGAAGTGGGTGTATAGGAACATGTTACACCCTAAATATGGGTGTAACATGTAACATGCTCCTAACGGTGAACTTATCCTTTAATTACTTTTGCTTCACTGTTGGGTATTACACCCTTCCCAATTGTAATCTGTAGATTAATGTGCTCTTGCAAAATACCTTGTGCAGAGGTTACACAGATTTACACTTCCACTTTAACAGCTTGTACCCGACTGCCAGCTTTCTGACTGGGCTTTCACTGATGGTCTGGTCCCCAGAGGCATAGCTAGGGAGGGCAGGGGGGTACATATGTACCCGGGCGCCAAGGTACAGGGGCGCCAAAATGAGGTTTACAACCAGGGGCGTATTTGCCATGAGGCAAACAAGGCATTTATCTAGGGCGGCACTTTTTAGGGGGGCGGCGCGGTGCCGCCACCCCCCCTTCCAACAGAAGGGATACATTACAGGGGTGGGCAGCGGGCTGCTGTGTCTTACCTGGCTCCGTGTCCCAGTCCCACGACGATCCAGTCCAGGAGGCGTTGCTGGAGTAGGGGTAGAGAGGTCTGCAGGTCCGGTGTCTTCTTTTCCCTGGACGCGATGTGTGGGCAGTATGAAATTCCGCCCCTGTCATCTGACCACACCCTCGGGATCACTAGACAGCCTATGGAAGCTTGTACCTTCCTCTGCAAGCTCCGCCTCCTCACCGGTGATTGGGTGCCAGAACTGTAGCTCAGGAAAGGCACACAGGCGGCCAATCACCTGCGAGGAGGCGGAGCTTGGAAAGGAGGATCCAAGCGGCAGCGCGAAGATCGAGTGAGGGAGCGGCCGGAGAAAGTGAAGAAGACAGCTGACCAGTAAGTGTGCCGTGCAGATGGTGCTGCTGCAACCAGGTATGCTGGCTGTGGATGGGAGAGGGAAGGAGCCTAGGCTGGAGCATGGGTCAGCAAGGTATGTGTCATTGGTGTCAGTGGGAGGAATAGTGCCCTATCATTGGTGTCACTGATGTGATCAAACGGGGAGGGGGGCTGGGGCGACAATTTTATAGTTCGTCCCCGGGCGCAAAATATCCTAGCTACGCCTCTGCTGGTCCCCACCAATGACTGAAACAAATCAGCACATTTTCCGATCATGTGATCACTATGGTAGTTATGACTTTGCTTTTAAGCAGCTGTTATTGACTACTTGTGCACAACAAAGATTATATTTAAAAGGAGACTGCTAAAATCAAATCCTTATATAGTATGTCCTTTAAAAACAAAATTTGTGATCGAGTTATTTCCAAGTTAACAGATGCATACTGACACGCTAAACATGGTCTGGACATGTAGACATCAATGCCCTTTGATCAAATAAACCATTAAACCCTGCACTACCATTTACAGCTTACACCAGGCAAGGTTTATCTAGGCTGCAGTTACTTTAATTAGCTTGATCATTTGCTAATTAAATGGAAACTATTATATTGTGTTCCATCCTTATACAAATAGGTTATTAAGTGATGTGACAACTTCAAGCAATGTTTGTGATAATGTGGTATTCTTGGGCACATGATCAAATTATCGTTGGTAGTTCCTGTTAGTGCACACAAAGTCTGCTGCATTAAATAATTAAAAACAAAACAATTCTATGCAATAATATTACTACATTAGATGTTTTTTCAGTTTCTTTCTGATTCGTTATTTGCTTGTATTTTCTTTTTTTTTGCATGACAATGTATGTAAACACTTTAAATGTCCCACTGATTTCTATAGCATGATGGCGCCCACTATGGTCTTATTAAATGTTAATATGTTGATTTGGACAAAATTAAGTGGCTTCTAATGTTTAAAGTGAACCTGACCTAAAATGTTGCTAAGGTGACAAAGGTGCTGATGTGTAATAACCAGGATTAGTCTTTAATTCATCCTAGTGCCCTTGAGGAGACCCTTTGAATCCTAGGCCAAGGCCAAGCTCAACTTCTACCCTAATCAAGGTTAATCCTAGCCCCCTCCTTCCCATAAAACCCATCCCTGCTTTCGGATGTTAAACAGCAGAGTTTCTACTGTTTTCACAGTGGGTGCAGCTTGTGCTGTGAAGTGTATACAAATATAAATTAATTTCCAATAAATGTCTGACTTTCAATGTTTGATATGTCAGAAAGGATGCATTTAAAATATACATTTTACTAAATTAGCATTTTATGCTAAACTAACTATAAAAACAAAAATTGCGCTAGCGCCAATGGTAACCTGCAGCACTAAGTCCAATGTTCAATAGAGAATCCAGCCTTTAAACAGTTAATAGGATAATTGCCCAAGTCTTGCAGCTCTCTGAACCAGCAGGGACCAGTAACTGTAAAACAATAAACAAGAGAGTGCACCAGCTCTGGTGCAATAAACCTTTAATAAAGAAAAAAACAAACTTGAAACTTGTGTCCGGCATATCATAATATGAACCCACTGTTTCAGACCTCCATGACAATGCTGTACTTCTGAGCTCCTCCGCTGTCACAGTCGATCCTCTAAATAGTCCTGGGCCGATGATGACTGTGACCTCCCTGGAGTAGCTGCTCTGCATGTAGACACACCACTGCCTGGAACGCAGAGAGCAGATGTGCAGGACACAGCAGCCAGCTAACAAGCCAGTTCAGTTCCTACCATCTAGTCTGGCTGACAGAGGGCAGGATAGGCTAGTGGTTGTTAGGACAATGCATTTCAAAGGTGTGGTCTCCTTTTTTCAAGTTTCAAGGCTGTGAGTGTAACTTTGTTTTTATTTCTCTAATAAAGGTTTATTGCATCAGAGCCAGTGTGCTCTCTCTTGTTTTTTTTTATAACTTGTGTTAAAGAATATATTACCCCAACATTTCATTTTACTGATAAGTGTCTGTTGTACCATGTACTTGTGTTAAAAAATATCGCATTCTCTTTGTAATTCTTCCTTTGTGTGAAATACCTGGTGATCCTGCCAATATATACAGTATACATTACAAATGTTTTGCCTTTCGTTTCTATTTTAAACTGAATGGGTTATTTTATGAGGTAAGGCTCACTTATACTTTATCAGTGTGTTTTACTATAGTAAATTTAGCAACAAGGTATAAACAAAACAAAATATAATATATTGTACGTATACAGTCCTTAGATGTTGTGGCTGCATTATCTTCCTTTTTTAGCCCTTTTTATCCTTTATTGTCACCTGGAGTTGATTTGTTGTTGTTTGCTATGGGAGACTGGCACATTAGTTTAGTACCTGGACTATCAGAAAATACTCATAGTAACTTATGCATCACAGTGGTTTAGTTAGACTCTTCAGCTGACATTATTGACAGGTTCTTAACTGTCGACATTTCTTGCTGAGGAAAATTCCTATCTGACACATATCAGTAGCTCTGTTCCCGTTTGCTGATCATGCTTATAGCTAGAATGCAAAGAACAGATTCAGTAGAAGGCTATTCCAAACGTTTTAAAGAATTTTAATATTTGCATGCTGCCTTAATATATCAAAATTCAACTTTGCTAGGAAATCTAAACAGACAGCTATAATACAACTGTTGAGGGTGTTACTTATTCCATTAGCTTTAGTTATGCTACTGGATTTTCAAGAAAGGTAAAGTTAGGTTTTAAACATTTAAACATGTTAAACAGTGGATGTTGAACAGTTGCATGTAATTAAATATTTATCCCATATTGATATGATTCATTTTGTTTCTGTTTTAGAGATCCAAATCAGCCTGTACCACAAGACACAAAATTTATCCACACAAAGCCAAATCGCTTTGAAGAAGTTGCATGGACTAGATATTCACAAAAGGACCAATTATACCTCCATATTGGATTAAAACCCAGAGTTAAAGAGCATTATAGGGCTAATAAAGTTAATCTTTGGTTAGAGCTGGTTCCACATCTTCATGTTATTAATGACCTCACTACAACAAAAGGGCCATCTACAGACATCACTTCTACACAAACAAGGAAACCTCCTTTGCCTGTAACTTCAGCTATTCCAACAATAAATGAAGATACGTTTAAGCAACAGCCTAGTCCATTTTCATTGGAAAGAGACTATTCTACTGAATTGAGTGTCACTATTGCTGTTGGGGCATCTCTGCTGTTTCTCAACATCTTAGCTTTTGCAGCACTATATTACAAAAAGGACAAAAGGAGACATGATGTGCATAGGAGATGTAGTCCTCAACGCAATACTACAAATGACATAGCCCATGCACAAGAAGAGGAAATTATGTCTCTTCAAATGAAGCACACAGACTTGGACCATGAATGTGAATCCATCCATCCTCATGAGGTTGTCCTCAGAAATGCCTGCCCTCCGGACTACACTTTAGCAATGAGAAGGTCCCCAGATGATATTCCATTAATGACCCCCAATACTATAACAATGATCCCTAACACCATACCAGGGATTCAACCTATACATGCCTTTAATACTTTTACTACGGGACAAAATAACACACTTCCCCATCCTCATCCACATCCACATCCGCATCCACATTCACATTCTACAACCAGAGTATAGCCAGACTAGATGGAAAACAAACTTTATTTTTGATGTATTACAGTAGTTGACCTTACTGGGAATTTCTTGGATTTTCAAACTTGCAAGACTTATGCTATTTAAACGTTGAAAATTACAATGTGCATACTGCATATACATATCAAAAAAACTTTTTGGATTTTTGAAACAAAAATGTAAATATTCAAAGTGGACAAAAGCAACAATTGAAACAATTGTTGTCAATATTTTTTGTTTTTTTTAATTCATGTTCAACTTTTTTTTTTTCGTTTCTTTTTTTTTTTTTAGGATTTATGTTACAAATTGGCTTTAGGCATGTGCTTCACAAAAAGAGAGGACAAAGACTTTAAATGTATTTATATGCACAAGGGACTCACTCATGGAATGTCTGATCTTTTTCACCTTTTTTATTTTACAACTGTTTTACTGTGTAGATCATATATAAGTGCACAAAGCACCGATGCTGTTAAGGCCTTAATTTGGCCCCATTCTATTAACTGCCAATTGAGCAAAGAGTTTTAAGTCCTGGCAGGTACAATATTATCACTTAAGTGCTGTCACTATCAAATGTGGGAATAAAGGAAATGATATTTTTAGCACGAAGTGCATGATAATTTGTATGCTTGGTGGCTGCGCTGCTGATTAAGCCACAATTAAAGTTGTTCTCATCACATTAAAGTTTTTATACCAGATTACTACATCGATTGGCAAACCTCAGGATGATTTTAGAGGGGAGGGATAAGTAATTGAAGCTCAGTAATTCAATGTATTGTCCTCGGCATTGAACTAGAACTGAAAGGTACATTGTAAGTTAAAGATGGAAGTGAAAAACTGGTGCAAAATCCCAAAGGATATGTGTATTTAAATTTTTATTATAGATTGTGCTAATTCTAAACAATTTCTAGAAAACAGGTCCAGTTTCATTTAGAATAGTTGACATATGATGTTGGTAAGTAACAATGTGTCCAAAGAAAAATTTGAGTTACAAGTATTTTCCCACTACTGAAATTTTTAAAATATTTTTTCTCATGATGCATGTCCACAAGTGTTCAAAAATGAATTTTATTCTACATCACTGTAAATTTATTTATATTGATGTTACCTCACAGCAGTATTATCGGTAAAATGTATACATATGTAGATATGAAGAATACACTATAATGAAGGGTGCCAACAGGATTTATAAACCCAGTTCTGGGTCTGTAATTTTATACTAATACTATCCAGTCACAAAAGTATTAATTTCCCTATTGTTTATCAGGAAAATATTTATCACAGTCTTTTCAAGGTGTTTGTATATGTAACAGATGTACATTTATATGGAAAATGATAAAAGGTGGAGTTAAGAGCACATCACTAAGAAAATACTTTTCTCTCTTACCTGTATATTTCTAATAGAAAACAGTTAATGCGCTTTTTCTTTTTTCCCTTATTATTTTCTTTTTTTTTTTTTTTACATTTTTCAAAATTATTAGTAATTTTGATAGTTTGTAAGATAATGCAAATACGTTTCTCTGACAAACTAACTGCAGTAACTTTCTTTTCAGTTACTCTTTTTCAAGAATAAAAGCTTATTACACACAGAAATTGTAATTACTTAATGAAAATGACTTTGTACTTCTTGACTAGCATACTGGTCATTGAGTGAAATAAAAATAATCTGGATAACCAATATTATTCCAATGCTGAAAAGATGACTTTGCTCATTAAAGAGCCAATTTGTTGACTATTGTTTTGTCATTTGTTTACCGTTTAGTACCAAATATACCTCAAGAAATGAATAATACCACATAATATGTAGTTGTTTTTCCTTATATTCCTAATATATTAACAATACAAACTATTTAATTTCTGTGTATCCACAATATTTGTAAATGAATATGGAAAGTAACTGGTGGGATCTAAAACAATATAAAATTAACATATAAAAGTCAATTGCTCTTTGTAAAACATGTGCTTATATTTGTAGAAGAAAAAAACTTTAGTTTGTATTTTTTGTTTTAATAAGAAAAAAAAATTACTTGGCAATGTGTGAGATGCCTGGTACAGTATTAGAGGTGGTTTGCTTAGCTAAGTAAATGCAAACTTAGCTTAAAAAATCCAGTGAAGCTGTGTTCACTTTGAATACCCTATCATGTGAAAGCAAATTAAAAACAAAAAAATGCTTGTATGAAGTGAACACAGCTTCACCCTATGCATTATGTCATCCAGTACTCCAGTACAGTAGCAGGGCTGATAAGTATCAAAGGTATCAACATCCATCATTTTCTTAGCCAAAGATTCAAAGAGTAACAACAGGACTTTCGGAGTACAACAGCGTAATTTCAATTGATTCAGCTATTCTGAGCATAACATATTCAGTGAAATATAGCACATATAGTGCAATGACTTAAACTATAATAACTATGGTCAAGTATTTCTTATGGCACTGGCATTTTGGAACTCCTGTACACATGATATTATATTGAGGTACAATGCATATATATATATATATATATATATATATATATATATATATATATAATATCCAACAATGCAGCGCTCAGATAGAATGATCAATAAAATTCATCACATAAAAATAAGTGCATCAATGTATAACGTATTTATAAACACATGCAAAATGAGCTAATGCTCAGTCCAGTATGAAACCACATAGAAAAGAGTTATCTTAGAATCCTAAGAAGTGTAACATAAGGGTGCAAGCCTGCGTCTAATAGTGCAGTAAGTTTATTGAATCATCAAAAGAACCATAAATATGAACAAAGTGAACTCACATCTGGACCATAAGAATGCAGCTATGGTGTACAGGAATGCAAAACACAGATCCAAGATCAAAGGGCCCTTTGAAAACGTGCAAGTGCACGAAAAGCATTAGAGAGGAGCCTAAGCCAGTGACACTAGATTGCCTGAGCCACAAGGGAGGCTGGAAGCCATCTTGGATCTGTGTTTTGCATTCCTGTACACCATAGCTGCATTCTTATGGTCCAGATGTGAGTTCACTTTGTTCATATTGATGGTTCTTTTGATGATTCAATAAACTTACTGCACTATATAGCACTTTCTTCTCTGGCTAATTCATTTTGAGCCACTAAGGTGGATCCCTTGTAAGTGCTTACCTTTGGGTGCGTAAAAGTGAATCTTCCCCGTGATCCGGAGAGTGTCAGTGGAGGAGAGGCTGTGTGCAGACCTGTTGCCAGAGGTGTTCCATACATTCCAGGATGATGATGACCAGGAGTGGTCTTGATTACTCAAAAGCGCTATAATTTGCGCTGTCTGGTTAGTGCAACTTACTCTGTTTCCCACATGCACCTGATGCATGGATCTGCACCTCTTTGAAGATTTATATGTCACTAATACACCATTTGGCATCTTTAGATGCAGACTTGCACCCTTATGTGACACTTCTTAGGATTCTAAGATAACTATTTTCTATACTGGACTGAGCATTAGCTCTTTTCGCATGCGTTTATAAATACGTTATACATTGATGCACTTATTTTTATGTGATGAATTTTATGGATCATTCTATCTGAGCGCTGCATTGTTGGATATTATTGTTTATGAGGGTTGGAGGTTTAACCTTTTTATGCCAGCTGCTATTTATACATTTTATACGTTTCTAGCGCTTGTTTACCATTTCTATCGATATATATGTATACATATATATATATGCGTATATATATACAGTTTGTGTCCAAAATTATTCAACCCCAATGCTGTAAAGGGGTTTAGGGACTATAGTGTACATTTGGAATTGTATTCAGAATCAAATCCTACAAGGACGTTGTAACTACCCAAATGCAACTAAAATGACATCAATTGTTTATGTAATACAGTAGTAAATGGTTCTTATGTGGTTTCTTCATTGCCACAATTATTCAACCCCTTAAAGACTACCACTCTGAAGAACAGAGGTTCATACAGGTGCTTTCCATCAGGTATTGAAAACACCTGTGGATGTCACCGAGCAGCAATCAAGCATAATAAGCACCAATTAGGCAGCTTTAAAATGACTGTGATACTCAGCTCCTTCTAGACATTTACTGGTGTGGTTACAAACATGGTGAAGGCAAGAGAATGGTCCAGGAAGACAAGAGAAGAGGTGATTTCTCTTCACAGGAAGGGCAATGGCTAAGAAGATTGCAAAGATGTTAAACATACCAAGAGACACCTTAGGAAGCATCATTCGCAAATTCAAGGCAAAGGGCACTGTTGAAACGCTACCTGGTCGTGGCAGAAAGAAGATGCTGACTTCGACTGCTGTGCGCTACCTGAAGCGTAGAGTGGAGAGAAGTCCCCGTGTGACTGCTGAGGAACTGAGAAAAGATTTGTCAGATGTGGGTACAGAAGTTTCAGCCCAGACAATAAGACGCACACTGCGTAATGAAGGCCTCCGTGCCAGAACTCCCAGGCGTACCCCCTTGCTGTCTCCAAAGAATAAGAAGAGTCGACTGCAGTATGCCAAAAGCCATGTGGACAAACCACAAAAGTTGTGGGATAGTGTTCTGTGGACTGATGAAACAAAATTAGAACTGTTTGGGCCCATGGATCAACGCTATGTTTGGAGGAGGAAGAACAAGGCCTATGATGAAAAGAACACCTTGCCTACTGTGAAGCATGGTGGAGGGTCAATCATGCTTTGGGGCTGTTTTGCTTCTGCAGGTACAGGGAAGCTTCAGCGTGTGCAAGGTACCATGAATTCTCTTCAGTACCAGGAGATATTGGATGGAAACGTGATGCAGTCCGTCACACACCTGAGGCTTGGGAGACGTTGGACCTTTCAACAGGACAATGATCCCAAGCATACCTCCAAGTCCACTAGAGCATGGTTGCAGAGGAAAGGCTGGAACATTTTTGGAGTGGCCATCGCAGTCACCAGACTTAAATCCGATTGAGAACCTCTGGTGGGACTTAAAGAAAGCAGTTGCAGTGCGCAAGCCTAAGAATGTGACTGAACTGGAGGCCTTTGCCCATGAAGAATGGGCGAAGATACCCGTAGATCG